CACTTTTAAAAATTTTACGATTAAGCCCCAAAACAATATTTTCCCTCAAATAAGTCCCCAATTTAATGCTAAAATACCCCCAAATTTTGGGATATTACACAAACATTCAAATCCTCTCGGCACAGCTAAGTCTCCAGATCCAACTCCACGCTTGATCATTAGAGAACTGGGGATTCCGCTGCTCTTGTATTATTTGATATGTTGACTTTACTGAAAAACAACCATCTTTGTGCCAGCCCAAAACATGCTATCCTCGTTCTGTAGTGAATTAGAAAAGGGTATGGCTCAGATTGCATCTACTAACTCATCCAAGACGAGATCATGTAAAGCCTCCAAATCCCATTCCCTATCTTGAGTTATTACCTCGGCAACTTTTAGTGCAGGAGGAGCCTCAAAACTGCCTTGAGACCAATAGCAGTTTAGGGGCTTGTATCTTACCCATAAATCCTTCCAAAAATCGATGTTTTCCCCATAACCTATTCTCCATTTAATTCCCATTCTCAACACTGATCGGCATTGGAGTATTCCATGCCAAATTGGAGAGGAACGTTGTGCAGCCTTAACATCAAAAAGACAAGCTCCACGGAGGTATTTATCTTGTAAAACTTGGCACCATAAAGCATTGTCACCCCTGAAAATCCTCCAACCAAGTTTGGAAACAAAAGCTTTGTTATTATCCCATGCTGCTCATAGTCCAAGTCCACTAGCCTTTTTCTCTAAACAGACTACATCCCAACCTACTAGATGCAATTTATGCATCCCAGAATATCTGCCCTAAAGGAAATCTCTATTCAGTCTATCAATATTATCACAAGTGGCTTTGGGGAGCAACACCGATTGCATGGTATAGGCAGGAATAGATGAAGTAACTGATTGGATGAGAACTCGCCTACCAGCCATACTTAGATTAGCACTCTTCCAGTTGGCTAGTTTCTGCTGCATTTTATCTAATATGTATCAATAGTTTTTATGGGAATGGCGACCATGACTAATAGGAATGCCCAAATAAGACCCCAAATTGGAAGTAAGTGGGATACCACACGCAAGGTTTAGTGCATTAGCAACAGTACGTTGAACATTTGGAGAGGTATGGAGCTTTGACTTTTGAAGATTCAACACCAGTCTAGAACTCTTAGCAAACCTATCCAAACAATCCATCAGAACGCCTAATTGTGATTCCGAGGCTTTTGTGAACAACATTAAATCATCTGCATAAAAAAGGCGTGAAAGAGCCACGCCCCCTTGTGCAATTTTAAAGGGCTTCTAGTCCCCAATCGAAACTCTCCTCTGGATCATGTGAGCAAGTTTCTCCATGACTAAAATAAATAGATAGGGCAACAATGGGTCCCCTTGCCACAGCCCTCTCTCTGGAGTGAAAAAAGACAATGGTTCCCTATTCCATAGTACAGAAAGCTGAACTGAAGTGACAAAGAACATAATTAAATTTATTAGCTGCTCTGGAAAGTTGAAATAAACCAAAACTTGTCTAAGAAATTTCCAGCTGATACTGTCAAAAGCCTTATGCAGATCAACCTTCAGCACCATAGCTCCTTTCTTGCCTTTTAAATGCTTCATGGAGTGGATAGCTTCCTGCGTGATGATGATGTTATCCATTGTACTTCTACCCGCCAAAAAACTGCTATGATGTGGCCCAATAATCTTCTGTAAATAAGGTCGTAGTCTATTAACAATAAGTTTAGACAATACTTTATATGCCACATTTAAAAGAGTAATGGGCCTAAATTTCTGTATAACATCAGGGGAATCCTCCTTGGGTATCAAGGCTACATAAGCTTGTATTAAATTTCGATCAAAGCTGCCAGTCAAAAGTGCCTGATTAACAAAGTCAAGGAAGGTCCCTGAGATAGTGTCCCAGTGCTTTTGGTAGAATAAAGCTTGAATACCATCAGGACCCTGGCTCTTTAATCCCTTCATGGAGAAAAGAGCCACCTTGATCTCTTTCAAAGTGGCAGGTTGAGTCAGCTGGAGATGTTTTGAAGTGGGGATTATAGGCTGAAAACCCATGAGATCTTCCCTTACTGCTCCTTGTAAATCCAATAAAGGATCAGAGCAAGAAGAGAGGGTCTGACGTATGGCTTGAGTATCCACAGTTTTAAGCCCTGATTGTTTGGACAACTACACTTGGGGCCCCAATCTATTGTTTTTGGCCTTATCTTTCTTGCGAACTGATTTAGATTGTAAAGGTCCTTTAGCTCGAGCGGGGGTCACAGTGGAAGTAGTACACTGCTGCGGTGTTGATATGGGCTGGGCTACCTCCATTTCAGATGTGGGCTGTGCATCACTATACTCTTTTAATTAAAGGTTAAGTAGCTGTGGTTTTCATAAGTTTATATTATTATTCATTATCTTGTATTAATATTCATTATCTTGTTGTCTCACCCTTTAACTAAAATAAAATGTGGCGAATAGAATTGGCCAGCTTTATGGCCAAGAATT